TGAACTACTTGCGGGTTGCTTAACCCTATAAGTCACCTGTCCTATACAAATGACGTTCACTTTAAAGGCCTCTGTAGGGGCCCGTTTTCGTCGTAAGTGACTTATCGGCCCAGGAACGTGTTCCTCGCCGGCCGCGTTATGTTTTAATCAACCCGCCGGGCCCTACAGCCTCTTGCAGTGGTGCCAATCGCGCGCCAAAAGTCGCTGGATCGCTCACCGGGTTCACCCGTGTCGTATTATTCGTCTGACTGTCTGGGAAGCGACCGCAAACGTAAGCAGGGGCCGGGAAGTTGAAGTTGAAGGTCTGCGGAACAAAACTACATGCCATACATGTAGGTGTCGGGTGGTTAGTTACACTCTCAGCGTAAACCGAACGTCCTTTGTATAGGACATATGACTTGCGGGTATCAAAATTTGAAGAAATTTTGAGTTTTGTTTCTGAGCACGCTAGGCAAGGTGTTGTGCTTCAATAACTTATATTCATGTTCTGTGTCATCGAAAACAACTCGAAAACTGCGCAGGGACCGCGTCACCTTCAATTGTTTCGCCAGCTACTCACTCGTCACTAGTGATCAGCGACTCTTTTTGGGCGGTGGCGCACGGACGGTATCTTGAAGACACCATCTGACCACTATCGCCCTACCCTAGGACGCTGGGATACTTTTCATACACGCCTTCTAATTCGTCTATTTCGCTACTCAAGTCACCATGTCCTACTCATAGGACATCCGTGTTTTTCCGCTTTTTTTAGCGCCAGGGGTTGTGTGAGGGTCCATTTAGACTACTTTAACCGTCTATAACCGAAAATTGTTATAAATAACAGTGTATACCTCGCACATACCGATATGTAAAGGGTAAATGCAAAAACATGCATTTTAGAGCGAAATTTCTGACTTTGTTACCCTTAAGTCACCATGTCACTTACATGTGACGTTGTGTTTCTTAGGCCCTGAGAGGTACAATTTTGAGCTCGCATGGGTTTGGTTGATGGATTATGTCAATTTCAACATTCTTACATCACATTTTGTTTAGCTAGGTGGGTACATCTTACAAATAGGGCCATAATTGCAATTTATTTCAAAAATGTGCCTTTTTTACAACTTTTTTATGGTTTTTGAGGAGGATTTATTTGGTTTATAGGTTCGCCTTCTTCAGCAAAGATTTCTAGGATACCAATTGACACACACACCCCGTATGGATTTTCTAGTGTAATAAACTCTTTTTCGTGGTGTGACCCCCAGAAGTCACCGTGTCATTTGTATGGGACATAGGCTGGACGCCAAACCAAAAGTCAGACAGGGTCGGGACCGTCAAAAATGGATTCGCAGACCTCCAAATAGTCAGGTTAAACATTAAAAAACATAAAAATTTGCCGGGAAAAATCCTGTGACTTAAAGGGTTAATGTTCGGTATTCACAAATTGACGCCTCTTTGCAAGAACGTGCGTGTGCAGTTGCGCGTCACGACATCTACGCCTTTGCAGCTGCTGCCGCATCCTTCAACACCCTCCCCCCTCAACCCCAACCCCATACGCACCCCCCTGCCCTCTGCATGGCCTTCCCTGACGATGGATTTACGACTCGCTGTCCGATGACGGCTATCGCCATTTTCGCCCCGTAAAGGAGGAGCTAATCGGCTCGCGCATGAGGATGGGAGCGGAGAGGGCAGCTCCTGCCGTGTCTTACATTTGTCGAGGTGGGGAGGGGCGTGAAAAGTGTGATCCTCCGCACTGTCAAATTATCTGCAAAAGATGGCGAGGTTATCCGCGCAGCTGGCTCTTGCTGCCCGCACACGACGACGTCACACTCTACGACGAGCAGCGCGGACCACCACCGCCCACTGCCGGGCCGGGCACCACTGCTGGCCGATCATAAATCGAAATAACGGGAAAAAAATCTTCAAGTTGGCTGAGTGCTGGGAGATTAGCAGAAGCAGCGCAGGCGCGGTTTAAAAAGTGAGGAATGGGGGGCGATCGCTCCCCCACGCCGTCTCTTGTGTTCCGCCTGAAAGGTACGCACTTTGCGCTAGAAACCCCCTTGCCTAGGAAACCATCATCAGTGCGTCGGCCCCCGCTGTCAGCCGGACCTTAAATTGAAGCAGCGTCAACAGGTAACACACTCTCTCAGTCACCCCCCGGCCCCGGCCTCGGCCAGCACTCGTCTCGTCACTCACTAGCGGGTAGCGGTGCGGACCTCGGGACTTCCCTCTAGCGCCGCGGCCGCGGGGACCAGTCTCGGGTCCAGTCCACACTCTCTCAGTCACTCGCCGGCCTCGCCAAGCACTCGGCTCGTCACTCACTGGCGGGTGCGGACCTCTGGCGCCACCGGGTCCACACTCCCCACCCACTACACGCTGCACTGCTTTGGAGATTAACTGCACTCGGCCCCGCTCTCCGCCCCGCCCAGCTCGCAGGGTGATGAAGCGAGGCCGAACTGCACGCCGGCCGGCGGGGTGCGGCGGGGAGCGGCGGCGACGTCTGGCCGATGACATCGGACCAGTGCCAGGCCAGAGGATACTAGGCGGAGGCAGGCGGTGCCGGACCGACGCCCCGGGGCGGGTTGTTGGATCAAATCAGTTAGACAAGACAGCAGTCAGGTGAGGTGCCGTGCAGCCACTGCCCAGGCTTCCGCTCGCACGTCCCTATCGGGATCAGCCTCTTCATGATGGGCTGACGGTGACTGTGGCCGGACGAGGCTGTGACTCACCCGAGCACAGAGCGAAGTGTAGCCCGCTGCAGCATGAGGGCACCACACACACACTCACGACGCACTGGTGCTCGCACGCACGCACGGGGACACTGGGTGAGGGGCGCGCGCACACGGGGACAGCACGCGGGCCGCGAGGGGGTTCGCCTGAGACTGAGGGCCGCGCGGCGGGCCTGGCCGGCAGCATCAGGCAGCATCCACCACCGCCCCGCGGCACCACGCCGCCGTGGACCTGCCACCCCCTGCCCCCCCTGAGCAGCCCCGCGGCCGCGTGGCCCGCCTCACGCCCCCGGGAAGCGCCGGGACCAGAGCCTGCCGGGCCAAGGCACGGGTTGCACTTGGCGGTGGCTGTGTGTCAGTACGTTTCGGAAGGAGGACGGTGCTGTAGGATGACGATGAGGTCCCGTCTATACATCGTAACAAGCCACCGCGGTGCACGGGACGACACTTCTCATGTTCTCTGATTTGGGATCGTCCAGAGAGAACGTCCGTTTTTGTCAGATTCGCCCGTCGCTCGGCGCCTGCGAGACTCGGGGTAGGCCAACCCGCAGTACACGCATGCACTGTAGGCAAGATGTTGCCTAGCTATCAGGCGATATGAGGGGCCAAACCGGGCCGGCGTGGAGCGACTGTTAACTATTGTCTGCAGGCGAGGAGTGAGACGCAAGTATAGTTCCGTGGAGACTGGTTTATTCAATGTATTAGGCTATTTAAAAAAGAAAAAAAAGAGGGTTGGGGGTGTATATGAAGGTTTATGTCGAGAAAGGACGCTGTGTCAAGTGAAACTTGTCCGGTAAGGGGAACCCAAGAGGCAACTTGCGAGTAAAATTGGACGAAATTATCTTGCCTTGCTCGTAGAAAGTTGTAGTTTTAGCACAGACGGACACAATGTGTGTAGTTCAATGTCCTCGAAGTGGAATCTCGTGTACCACTCCCTGACGTTGTAGGCATACCCCCCCCCCCCTAATGCGCAACTACGGCGTGCGGCAGCAGAAAGTCGAAAAAACGTTAGGGGGTGCCGGTAGTGGCTGAAATTTGGTGTACGGGTGTACCGTTGAGGGTTTTTGGCTCGTTCGGCCCCCTCCGACAAACTACCCCCTGCCCCCAGTTACCCTACCTCCTGCTCAAAAAGGAGGAATGTTTGAAATCGCTGCGCATTTGTGCACCTTTGCTTTGGCGCACCTGGCCAATGTTGCCATGAATAAATAAATTATTTTTGTAATTCTAAGTCTATATCCAAACGGATTTGCTCAAAAATAAAGAAAGACCAAGAAAGGGACCTCCTCAGTCGAGACTTGAAAGAAATGCACTGTTTGAAATAATAATTTTTATGTGAATGATTGATGATTATACTAATTGAGAATTAATTTTGTACTCTTTTTGCACTGGATTTACCATGGGAGTATCTTTTGGGACCCCGGGCCTGAGGTCCAATGAGACATTGCAAGGTATCTTGTATATTAAGTTGTGGGCCGAACTAAGTTTTGCTAAAAATACAGCATATGGGTGTCGATTAATAGGTTTGGAACCATAGTTTCAGTCCTGTCACAGAAAGTATGGATTTCTCGCTATTTAACCTGCAGGTACAGAAAACAAAAGGTGGTTCGTGGGACCCCGGTCTCCCCTATTTTCAGCTGGACATCAGGCAAATAAATCATATTGCATACTCATCTAGATATCTATAATTTTAAAAAGAAAACACTTATCTAGAACTAAAAGATTTATGACAATTCAAACAAATACGCACATCTGTATCACAGTTATGGCCTTGTTTCCATATTACTTTCACACTTACATGAAGGAAAAATTGTAGACAATACTTGTGCAAAGAATCCAATGAGCGTAGCAAATTTAGAAAACCAACAGAACTAGGTCTAGCCAATAAAAAATGCTCTCAGCTTAAACACAAATGAGGTAGGTGCAAAATGTACTTATTAACATAAACTAAACAGTCTTCCTTTCTATCACGAGATTATCTGTTCGATATAGATTCGCGACCATCACCTGCAAATCGACAAAAAATAATACATTTTTCTGGAAGATACACAATAAGGAATGTTGTAATGTAAGAACATAAATGACCATCGGTTTTTTACATGTTGCAATGCAACACAGATATAACATACCTGGCGTTTAACAACGTCGAGGTTTTCTTTCCCAAATGTTAGAAAAGCCTCAATTTTCTTGGGATCGGTTTCCAGTTTGTGTTCTTTAAATTCGTCTCTCACCTTGCGAAGAGCATACATTCTGTCAATGAGATGTTTTATTAGTAACATTTCACAGTATTATGCGAAAGGGAGGTTTTACAGAGGTGGTGCAATGTTTCAGGGGAGAGAGTAATGCAAACAGAGAGTTAAGCATGTTGTACCCAAAAATTTAAAGTTATCAAGAATTTTCAAAAACGAAGAGGAGGTTATTGAACAGTTAGCTAATGAGTGTAAAATGTCTTGTTTGCATGAGAAGCAACGAGGTTATGATCACTTTTGTGCCATCGAAAGACTATGCCACAAAACTATGACAGTTACTGTGAATTCATCCGTGTATTTTTACCTGAAATTATAGTTCGAAAACTTGCTCCCTTCCCGTAGAAGCGACTTATACAGCCTCAAGACTTCGTTTCGGAGTGAGGCCATTCTGACGGGGATTCTTTCTTGTTGCGACTGCGGTCCCTGCCGTCGTGCTCGTGCTGCCTACCCTTCGTTTTCGTATTTCTTCGGTTCGCTTTCGTTGACAACGTGCCGGGTGAGAGTAATGATGAATTAAAATTCTCTAAGTAGCGTAAAATTGTTTTCTCTGCAGGGAAAACATGTAAACATAGCTGGATGTAGTAAAAGAATGGCCCATGGGGGGATCGAACCCACGACCTTCGCGTTATTAGCACGACGCTCTAACCAACTGAGCTAATGGGCCGTTGTTGGAGTATCTTCCTCGTAGCTGGCATTATATTCCAAACCTACTCTATCTTCCATGTTTCTTACTTGAATATTTGAATCAGATGATGTCGCCTACATAAGTGGACATGGCAAAGTAAAAAAAATAAAATAGGAATAAGGGCGACAAGTGGTAAAAGTATTTTACGTTTAATAGATAAATATCAATTATTAAAAAAATTAATACAAGTAGAAATTTAAATATCCATGGCACAGCCACTGTTTCAATATACATCAACAGAAGAGAAAACGTCAACAAACCTCAATGAATCATAAAATTCTCACTTTGCTACCAATGTAGTTGTTTGTCAGTAGTCAGAATCTTCAGAGTTTGCTGAGATAACAATCTGAAATCATTTTTTTAAATGTTTTAAAAATACTTGAAAATTAAATTTTAGCTTAAAATAAGAGATTTACTAAAATTCACCTCATTGTGTGGGTGGGAACAGACGAAACATAAAGCACACATAGAACATTTGTGCCTCTTCTTATACCATGACATTTATGGTATTCTGAACACCAATATGTTTCCAAAGGGGAACTTTCTCTTGCTGTGTCACCTAAAATAAAAAAAATAATATTAATGCACTAGTTCTGAAAGCATATGTTGGTGGATTATTTATTTTATAGACGAGGATTAGATTATACCTTTTTCTTTTTTGTTGTTTGAACTGTCAGCAGTAAGCAGGAGTGATTCCACAGCTTGATGATAAAAAGTTCGTAACACATGCAGACGGTGTCGAGAGGACGGGGCATTAACAGGATTACTATGTTCAGTATTACTCTCAGTTCTTTCTCGTGACTGCCACACTGGCTTGTCATTAGCTATGTAGCTCAAAACATATTTTCCCACCTCAGTATTAATCAAGAGAAATCTGGGGATGAAAATAGAAAGAAAAGAATTCATGTACTTTCAAGACTTGACATATAATCATACAGAGTGGTAAGTGAACAATGCAATAATTCTTACCCCAACACATTGCTGTCTAGCTGAATGGAATGAGGAAAGTTGCGAGGGGCAATCTGCGTAATGGATCGCAAATGGTCAGCACTTGGTCCCCAACACTGTAAAGCTAAGTGCTCTGCCTCAGATAAAGTCGGCGTAGGTCCGCACAGTCCCAAAATTGATACACCAGGAACAAGAAGCACCCATATAAGCCTGAAGGGTATCTTAAACCAAAAACAAGAAGAGAAAAAAATAAGCCTTTTGGAACACAGGAACAATTAAAATAATGACAGTATCAACAATTACCGATGGGCTCTTGAATGGAAGAAATATTGGAGTATCACTTGATGTGGAAGGGGATGAGACAACAGTTAAAAGTGTCAAAAGTTGGCGCTCAAGTGGATGAAGATCGGTCCAAGCAGGAGTTGAAACTAATTCACGCCCATATACCAAAAGACAGGCAAACTGGCTATTCAAACATTCTGCATAGGCATCTAAACACGCCTGTAAGAGTTTGAGTTAAAATTTTAAAATAATTGCACATCAGCTACTGCTCATACAAAAAATTTGTACTGACCATTAAATCATTGCTTTCATAGCTCAGAAGAGTTTCAGATAATCCAATAAGATTGCCACAGCAAAGATATTCTGTAGAATCACTAAAATTATTGGAATTCTTTCCTGTTGCATGAGCACTTCCAGCTGTATTACTGACAGTACTACCATCCATTCCATCCATAAGCTTATCAACAAGCGGATAACATACCTGCAACATAAGTCACAGCAAAAGAGTTAAATAGACTGTATATTCAAATAATATTTTGCACTGAAAGATGTAAGGTAATTTTTCAAACATTTAGTTAACATACTCTCAATTCACGTTTGAAACGGTCAGGATTTCTGATATTTCTTATTTCGTCAACTCCAACCATTAATAGCATAGCATTGAACACAGCATTCAGAAGCTTTTGCAGAGCTGCTTCGTCACAACAAGAAGCAGCGGCCACTAATATAATGCTGTAAAAGAAGGGAGACGCAACAAGTAAAACTAAGGCTGTCGAGCTTAGAATATATTTCAGAATGATATATCTTACCTTCCTTCAAACTCTTCCCATACAAAGGTTGTGTCTGAAGTCTTAGTACTTTTCAATAAAACGTCTTGAGATTTACAAAACATATGAACTCCATTTAAAGAAGCAACTAAGGAGAAGGGCAACTGGAAACATAAATTGTAGCTTTTTACTGAGCCATTAATGGTATACAATGCAATAACATCAGTAAAATTAAGGTGCTTACCACATCTCCTTCCCCCTTTTTACGAGTGAAAAGAGGTAAACCCCCAGCTGAAGTGATACATAATACGTGAACTGTCATCGTTCACAGTATTATTTCTCTTGCAAATACTAATTAGTTATAGAATTCGCATGGCGTTGAAAAAGACAGGAGGGGCATATTTTGACAATATGAGTACTCTTCATGGTTAGAATACACCTGTATGCACCTACTATAGGTTACTTTAGAAATTAGAGACAATTGATTATTAAATATTTGCTGCCATAAAATCAAGTGCAATATCATTTCGGATATCTTTACCTGTAACGCATACTCGTCGTGGTTTTTGTCTCCAACTCTGTACGGGCTTGACATGTCTTGTCTTGTGCTTGTTTGTTTACTTACTGGTCATATTCCCCTCCCTCCCTTCTCCTCCTCTCTTCGCCCTCCCCCTCCACCGCCTCGCCGGCTTGATCTGTTGATCTCTTCATTTGACATTTTGGAAACTAATTTTTCGCGACAACGACTGAAAATGGTTATCTGAAGAAAGGCTCTTTCTTTTACAAGTACATGTCAAGTAAAAGTTTTTGAGAAAAACTAAGTAAAGGCAGTTTTCCCGTTTAACTATTACCATTAGGGTTACCTGTTGCTTTGACTGCTTTGACAGACATGTCAGAATTTGATAGTACGAGTGCAACCTCAAACACTGAGTGCCAGGAAGTTATGTCTGCATTCATCTCTTTCCTTCAAAATCTAAATGAAAACGAGTGGCTCTCTCAATCCTCTAAGGAAGAGATAAAAAGCTGTTTGCACTCTGCAAGAAACATTGAAAAAATTTTAGACGGATTAAAAACTAATGGTTCCTTAGAAGCCTTCGTAAATCTACTTCCAAATTTGTATGGGTATAATGTTGACCAAATCTGCAACGCATGCGATATCACTCTTAGGATGGTTCTAACTGCGAGTGGTGTACCACTTCCATGTGTGCGAACATGTATTGATGAGTACCTCAAACTTTGTGGATCGGAAAGATTTGAAAATGTTTTGGCCTCTGTTATATTCTCTTCAGAAATATACCGTGTACTTTTAGACTTCATTGCCACTACTGATAATGACTTTGAAAGTCATCAAATCAACTTGCAAAGCCATCTGTTTAGAAATTTATGGAAAACTGAGACACATACACAGAACTTAACAGATAAGTTTTACAAATGGTTGAAGACAGACTTATCTGGGAAGAATATTGCCGTATCTCTGCAGGTAAAATTCCAAACCACCTCATTTTTGTGTGTGCTTTTATGTAACAATGTATGTCTAGCTCATGGTTTATTTTACAGGTTGTTTATTCTGAAGACGGCAGGAGTCACGTCAGCTTTAGTCTTGTCAGTGCACTTGTCAAAGTACTTCAAGAAAGAGGTGACACAGCAGCATTGTTTTGGAGAATTTTTACCCATTATCCTAATGGTAGGAAAGCTATGTTTAAGTCCAATAAGCTCTTGAATAGTCTTTTAGATTTTTTTATAACAAGTTCAAAATGGATGGAAACAACTGATTCTTTCTCTTGGACTTCAAAAGAACAAGGCCCTTGCAAAGTGTTCGGATTTGAAGAGCTGTTAAAGGCACTCAATAACTTGGTAGAACTCGGAGGATCTGTGAGTGAAAGGGTGGATCATTTTTTGTCCGAGAGAAGGAACAGTGCAGGTTGCACATTTTGGGATGATGTTGAAATGCGATTGACAAGGTAGATTGGTTTTAATAGTGTATTTGAATGATTTTCAATGTTCTTACAACAATCCACAGAAGAAAAAATTAATACCATTCACACATCAATAAGTTAACACTGCAGCACCAATTATATTTTTTAAGTAGGAGAAAATAGTTACGGTGGCATCAGAGTTACTCAACTGATTGGTACCTCTGAAAAATTATAATACATTTTCCATACAATTTGATACAAATCATGTTAATAAAGGAAACTGTTAACAGTCAATACCCTTGTTATAATTGTCAATTGCCCAATACACAATTGCCCTTTAATGAGTAACTGGTGGGGAATCTCACAGCCCATCTATGATGTATCTACAAATTAAAAGTACCAAAAAAAGAAAAACATTTTAGAAAAAATTTACCAGATTGAGAGATTACCCACCAAGAAACACTCTCCCTGACAAAAGGACAACTGCACTCCCGGTACAAGAAAGAAAGAATGACAGCATACCTCAAAAATCATATTAAGACTAAAAACTTTTTTCATAGAATACTTGAGCTCCTACTGTACAATAGAGTATAAAAAGAAAATAATACAGGTTTTATTACATCACTGTACCGATTTATTATAAACAACCTTAAATTACAGCTTCTTACGTACAAAAATACAAAAAAGAGGGCAACCAAGAAACTTAGTCAACCAAATAAATAGAATGCATGGTCATGTTTCAATGCAAACATTACAGGTAGATTTGCAGTTATCAGTGGTAAGACTACAGTACACAGGTATGACAGGACTTTCAACCCTGTGTTGTGCATCTTGTTTACACAGAAGATTATCAGAATTTTGCATTAACTAGCCCTTGCTATGTTTTTGGGACAAAAAGAGCACAAGAGAAATAATAGATATTAAAAAATTGCAAACATTAACAGACTGTGATGTAATTGCAGAAAAAATTGTCCATGACTAAACAGTAATAATTACAAAGGGTCTATTTGCAACGTCTCTTTCTACATAATACATACAAACATAACAAAAACAATTGTCTTAAATAACATCTTATCTATAGGACTTCCATCAAAGCAAATACTACTAGTAGTTAATAAACAATCGACACAATTGTGGGGTTGGCTCCACCAAAAAATTTAAAGATTAAGAAATCCAAAATTGATTACTACTTATAAAGTTGAAAACTTTTACTGTGAATTAAGGAAAAGCAAAATTGTAAATCCAGAAGTTAAAATAAAATATGAATACAGATTTTTATGATCTGCAGTAACTGAGCATTACCCCCTCACCTTCTTCCTTCTGGTCAATTAAGGCATCCAATAACAATACGCTGAAAGAACTTCATATAAAACAATGGAATAGGAAAGAGAGTGGTTATACAAAAAGCCATACAATAAAATCAGATGTAACAATCAGAATATGTTGACATCTATAAAAAGAAGATGCTACAATTTAAATTTAGCACCAAGTGAAAAGCCAAGTCTATTGGTTGTTGGTTTAATGGCACAAACATAACTGATATGTACAAAACTGAGGCACATGCCATGTCCTGTTCATTTCTATCACACTTCTTTTATAGAGAAGGGGTGTAGGCTTTATAACACAGTCTGATTCATACTTGCATCTTAAGTCTTTAAGTAGGTAGAAATAGGTCAACAAGTTGAATACACAACGTGTGGAGGTTCTAAAGAAAAACAGGGAGGGGGGCAGTATCAAACCTCTAAAAACAAATACAAGCACACATAGATAAATAAAAGATACTACAGAACCAATTCAGGATAAAAAAAAATCATGACTTTACGAGTGAAACCTACTAGACTCTACAATATTTTCCACAAACTAATGCAATTTAATCTGTAAGATCAAAGTTGCTTTTTTTTTTTAAATGATCAAAATCAAACAAAACAAAACAGTAATAAAATTATAACACAAGGTTCAGGGATATAATTGAATGAAGTTGGAGCTAACTCGACCAAAATATTAAAACCTACAAATTCATCACTGAGCTACATTACACCTTTTAATGTGCATGATGAAATTTGAAGTGATAGTTATAGATCTTAAATTGATAATAGAGGATACACCATTAAAATAAAATTACACACAAAGAATTTGACAGTGCCTTGAAATGTTTCTGTAGGTACACAATTTAAATGTACCCACACGCAAAAAAAGTGACAGTACTAGTTCAGAGTAGGTAGCTCCCCAACACATAATACATACTAGTCTTTTTTTTTAACATATCCATGGTAGGAGGAGCATCCCACCATGGTTAAATGGACATCAGAGATCCTTGAATAGGGCAGACTTTGCATTTTTTAGTTTGTCCAGTCTTCTCTGAAGGTGTGAATTTGCTGTTTCTAGTTCCTCTGCGTGCGCCAGCGATTCCCGGAGCTGAAAAATAAAAATTAAAACTCAGTTAGAAAGATTGAAATCAAAGATTTGGTTTCTTTTGGCATTCAAGGGTTACAGAGATAGTCCGGTACGAATAAGTTACATGGAACTTTACTAATCAAGTTGCGGAGCTGACAACAGAGTTTTAGACAAATGATCTGTGCTCCATATAAGCACAAGTCACCAAAAATCAGACCATACGGGATGAAACGATTCCCTCATGCCAATAGAGAGAAATAATGTGAACTACTTCAAGAAAAACATTAGTTAAAAACAAACACAATTCAAAGAATTATAAAAAAGAA